TGGCAGGGAACACCGTTTGGGTCATCACCGGCTCTCCAGCATCCTCCCCTTCCAGCAGCTTCCCTGGAGCTGCACTTTAACTCCCCTTAAAGCCAGTCTCCTCTACAGGCCGCCCGCTCCTCTGAGTCGCAGTCCAGGGAAAATAAACCAACCGCTGCTGCTCACCTTGTTCCTGAGCGCAGCAGCACCTCACCCCCGACTCCACAGCCTTCCAGAAGCTTCCCTGGAGCACGGCTGGGCTCCTGGCTGAGGAGCCACTCCCCGGCTCCACAGCCTTCCAGAAGCTTCCCTGGGGGCCAGCGGCACTCCTGGCTGAGGAGCCACCCCCCAGCCCCTGTCCCGCAGGTGTTGCTCGTTAAGCTGATTGCCAGGAGCAGGCAGTCAGGGCTCCATCCAGGTCCGAGCAATCAGGGATCCATCCAGGTGCGGGCAATCAGGGCTGCCAGGAGCGGGCATTCAGGGCTCCATTACACCCCAGTTTCAATGGATACTGGGGTGACTGGAAGTTGCAAAGCAAGCTGAAGACAAAAGGATGCACACCTTTTGATCCAGCCCAGCCATAACCTGGGAACTGCCTTTACAGCACTCAGGACTGGATCTGGGCTGAGATCTCCACACGACATTGAAACCTGCTCAGTTCAAACCTAAGTGCCCATCACTGTGCTCAGCCGTGCCTCAGCCCAAAGCAAGGCACCATTGGAGAATTAACACCGAAAAACCACAGCACTATAGGCTATTCATGAAACTGGAATTCGGTTTTGGGAAGATTTTGCTGCATCACTCCTATTAAGCCTTAGTCACAGCTAAAAATCCAGTGCAATTATTCACGTAAAGCTGTAAATATAGCATGGCACTGTTACCATATTGGTTCCTTTTATACTGACATATAGGGCTCGTGCTTATCTCTGTGCCCAGCATGCAAAGGGATTAAATTTAGAAAGCGCTCAGCTATTTTCTCCCACTAAAGATAAAACACATGAAAATTTTGTTTACTGGTTTGTGAATAGAGATAATTAAAGGGATGTTTTCAACTGGAAATGTTGAAACTGACAAAACTTGTGCAAGATTTTAAGGCAGAGTCACAAGTGCTTCCAGCAGCAGTCAGGCAGCAGGCTTTGACTGGGAGACAGGGAATGAGATCAGTGGCCACCAGAAGTTCCCTCTCTATCAATTTACCTCCATCACAGCTTGGAAAGCTTTGTGGGAAAACAGGAATCCAACTAAAATTATTTTCTTAATGCCAGGTGTACTGAGAAAAGGATTAATCTGGATTTGAAATGAGTTCATGCTCTCCATCAGAACAATGACACAAGCTGGCAGAATGAAGGTAGCGAGTCTGTTGATGTTTGTCCGCAGATAAAATTGCTGCTAAGCAAACACTACAGGCTTGGGGTTTGTGGTTACAGCTTCATGAAGCCCTCCCAGAGGCCGGCTGTCTCAAAGCCACAATAACAATCCCTCATTTTCCATTAAACCACCTATTATAGGTGAAGTGATAAAAAAATATATGAAATACACAGCGTTGGTAGCATTTACTTCTAGTAAATTTATTAGCATTTACCACTAGTCAATTTACTCATTTACAATGAAAATTGACAAGATGTTGCAGTTTTCATTTTAGAAGCTTTTTTCCATTGTTTATAACTTTACATGACCCTGGGTAGAATTTCTTATCCCACCTGTGTTTCTTTGATGCTGCTACTTTAGAAGCTTCTAATAAAACTTGATCAAGTCACTTTCAAAAAATGCTGCAAAGAAATATTAACTGTAACAGTTAAAATGATATGGTTGTTTTCATGTAAATTGTTGGTTCTTAATGCTTTGAAGCAAAGACTTTAAACTGGGTAAGGACTCAGTGGTGGCTGAATTGTGATAACAGACTTGACTGTTGCGATAAAAATAATTTCACTTCTGCTCATGGAAATAATTTTATTGCTGCATGTGAAATATTAAAAGAATACTGTGATAAGCAGCTCAAAAGCACCAGAAAAAATCTGATCTGAACTAAAATGGTACTCAATTGTGCATTCCACTGTGAGCAAAAATGAAAGTGTGCAGTAAGTGTAAGGTGTGCCATCAGTCTCATGTCCAGCATGGGGCAGAGGTTATAGGGAGCAAGTATCTCAAGGAATCTCCAAGATAATCCATGAAATAAATCCAAATCCATACGTATTGAATGTTATATCAATTTGTTCACATTTGTTCATCAAAGATTAGTTACTAACAGGTTTTTACCAAGTGCACTTCTGCTCATGTTCTGTGGCATTACTAACCTATGTCCAAGGAGAATGTCACTTCAGTGTTTGCTGCTTCAGGGGGAGAAAGAAAGGAAGAAAAAGCAAGTTTTCATCCAAAATAAGTTCTGGAAAAAAATCCAATTGCAAATCATGAATAACAGTGGGAAGAAAGTTTTATGGAAGTAAACCCAAGTTCCTTACTGCTGCAGGATGGTGGGAAGTGGAACAAAAGCATAAAAGAACATTTAAGCTTGTCAGTTCCATCTAAGTATCTTTCTTTTGCTGAATTTCAGTGGTGTAAGTACTGTAAGAGCCTTCCCTGCAGAACATTCCTGCTGCTCCTCCTCACAGCCCCTGCAGAGTTTGCATCACAACTTTTCCCTGTGCTCAGTAGCCAGAAAAAAAACTTCCTGTATTGAGGATTTGCTCAGAAATTTCTTCAGGCTCTAAAAGGCAGGCTCTGTGGGGACTCCAGTGATCACTTCTCGCAGGGCATTACTCTGAAGTACCCTTATTTCTCAGCTCTGAGCTTCAGGACTACAAGGTTGCTACAGGTGTAATTCCCGTCAGCAGGATAAAAATCTCTGCATTTTTTCCCTCTCACTGGACAAAATGTCACAGGAAGAACAACATGGTAGGGATGAGAATGAACAAGCCACAGGTGACAGATTTAAGTTATTGCTACCTGAAGATTTAATTGTTTGATGTAAGGACATACCTGTTTATGATCAGAATGAGGGTTATGTGAGACCTAAACAGAAAAGGATTTAAGTAATTCCATGTTTAAATGGAGAACATCTGAGAGCAGCTGATCTATTCAGAGCAGGTTTCATTGCAGAGAGAAAATCTTTGCATTTTAGTACCCACTTAAACACTTCTGCAAGGGAGCAGCTTCTAATAACAGCACCTTCACCCAGCACAGTGGGGTGCTCAGGGAGGGAGCTGAGGGCCTTGTCTGGCAGGGAAAACAAGAGGCACAGTGCTCAGAAATCTGCCAGCAGTTGACCCAATCTCTGTTCCAAAACCAGGCTGGACACAGAACTTCCAAAGAAATGAGAGGCAATAGCTACAGAAACTACAACTGGCAAGTTGTACCTATGGTACAAAAATTACCTCTCTGACCATTCCCAACATGATTCACCTTCAGTCAACTTTTTCTTTTTTTCCTGCAGTTTTCCCTCAGGCTTCCTCCCCAGAATGGGAGGTCCTGCCTGTTGGAATCGTGCATCTTTCTGCATCTTCTGCAATCTCCCCTTGTCACAGACATCCACAAAGCACCCAGAGTAGCCAGGCAGATGCTGAGTGGTCCCATTTACAGACTACATTGCAATTAGTAAGAAACCCAAACAAACCAAATCCCAAGTGTTCCTTCACATTTTTGTGTTGCATGTCCTGTAAGAGTTCTGGAGGACAGGCTGACCAAAGGTTTGCTGAAGCTGCTAGGAAGCCTCCTGTCCACTTAGGAAAGCTTCAGAAATGGTCCCTACAATGTCTGACCCTTCCTAACCCTCCAGCCATGAGAGCTGAGACTAGCTAAAAGAGGCTAAAAAACCTAAAAGAAAAAAACTGGAAAACATCCAGAATTGAGGCAAGTGCAAAGTCCTGCACTGAATTTTTTTCAAGAAGCTTGTGATGCAGGACATGGAAGAACCTTTTCCCAGACCAGTGCCCTGCAGTCTGTATTTTTTTTCCTCCAAGGGTTTTGCAGCAGAGAAATTTGACTTACTCTTTTATCTGCATAACCTAGCAGGAAGTTCATGCATCAGCTACCAGGAAAAAAACCCAAAAAAACCCACCTCTGGTGAGGTGATGTTAATAAAAATTTTAGTATCAATTTTATGTTTCAGGAAGTGAAGAGGACACAGTGTCTTGTGACTTTTTCCCCCATTGAAAACAACAGATGAACAGCCTCCCCTTAGGCTTCCAAGTAATTGTAGATTATAACAGTTCCTTGAATGGAGAGCAGTTAGCCTACAGCTTCTTAACTTAATTTTCTCCTTGAATGAGACCTCTTCAGAATAGATGGATGACTAGAAAGAAAAATTTTGTAAGGTACTACTTGGGTTTATATAGCCTCTCTATGTGCTGCCCACAGTAAAAGATAAATTAGTTAAAACCTAATGTTTTGTCCAGGTAAAGTGGATATTTTCATGCTGTGAACATGGTCTGATTCCTGATTGTACTGGCAGGTCATTATAATGTCCTCTGTGAGATTACATATTTTTTTTTTTGTCCATGCAGAAAGTATTTCCTTGAAAAAAGAAAATCGTCCCTATCCTGGGATGCTACCAGTAGATAAGAGGCTTCTAAACTTACAGATCTACAAACTTCTACAGTGTGTTCACGAGAAAGACAAGAAGCAAATAGAAAACCTGATCCAGAAGGGGTTCCCAGATCTGATTAATTACACAGAGCCCAAGGAAGGATACAGTGCCTTGCACGTGGCCACCATGAAGAACGACATTGAGATGTGCCGCTTCCTGCTGGAGCACGGAGCGAGCCCCAACGTCCACGACAACATGGGGTGCACGCCAGCCATGAAGGCAGCTGAGCAGGGCTTTGAGGCCATTCTGGAACTACTAGCAACAGCTAAAGCAGACATGACTGCTGGGGATAATGAAGGGAAAGGTGAGTGAGAAGGAGGTACCATAATGCAATCCCTTAACTCTGTGGCACACTTATTACATGTGATGTGTCTGTCTGTGGAGAGGAGCTGTGCTTGAGGGTTATCCTTACAGCCCAACAGAAGCTGTTAGCCATTACAGCTTTGATGAAAATGAAAATAATTCCTCCTGAAGAGTCGAGGCCTTTAAATCATGTCTCCCCAGCAGAGAGCTGAGAGGTAACTTATAATTGAGACTCACATTCCTCCCATGGCCTGTGACATACTGAGCTCTGGCTTTCTCCTCAGGTAAAGTCTCTGAAGTAGAAATCTTTTCTTGCATGGCTTCACCCTCAGTGAAGGGGTCTCTGTTGCAGACTGGTCAGCTGTGAAGCTCACAGCCTCACAACCCTTCTGGTAATTTCCTTTTCCACCCTAACCCCCACTGGTTTCCTTTGCAGGTGTTTTGTTTTACTGCCTTGTACCTACAGTTCGCCATACCCACTGCCTGGAGATTGCCTTGGATTATGGTGCAGATGTCAACAGCTGTACCACGACTGGGAGGTCTCTGCTTCTAGAAGCCTGTGAGAATGCTCATGAGGTTAAAGATATGTGCCTCATTTTCTTGGAGAAAGGAGCAGATCCCCATGCAAGAGACCCGGTATGAGCCTTTGTGTAACTAAGAACAGATACAGGAGTATAGAGCAGAGTACATGACCTTAAATCCTCACATTAAAATAATAAAGCAGTGAAAATTGCTTAACTATGTGGCCATACCTCTTCCCCTCTTCTGTACCACCCTTTTTGGAGGAGACGGATTTAAATATTTTTTTTTGATTTTTGTAGGTTTGGAGTGCAAATATTTCCCCAAACTTTCATGTTAACTGGGTCAGCTGTTAGGAGCTGCAGTTCACTGTACTTCAGTGGAGCACTGCTGATTTGTATATGCCTTGATGTGTCCTTAGATTTTCAGAGTTGAAATAGTATTCATTAAAAGGTAACTTATTTTAGTGAATATTCGCTAAAAGGTAGGGAAAATCTGATGAGCAATCAAGGCAGGAAAAAGGCATGAGAAACTTTCTTCTCTTTTGTATATCCTAATCATTTATTTTTTTGCTCCCTAATTTAACAAAGACCTGAAAGACTGAAGCTCTGTGCTGTTGATAAATCAAGAAGCTCAGGCTTTCCCTTGGAGTTATCCAAAGCAAACATCCATTATTATCTAGGAAAAGACAATATTAATGTAATCGAGTGAACTTTTCTTCACAGAACCATAGTGAAATTCACTGGTTGATTTGTCTTCCCCAGCCATAGCTCCTCATGCTCCTGCTTTTGTAATCTGAGGTGGTATTTTGAGTTAGAAGTTGTAAATATACATGAGAAGATACCCACAGAATGCAGGATTCCTTAACTAAGCACTTGATTGGGCATTATTGAAGGGACTTAAGCCTTCAATGTACTTGAGTTGCTGGCATCTGCCTGCTCTCTGCTGGCAGCCCTGGTATGAGCAGGCTCTGAAGGCTGCCCTGCAGTCCCTGTGAGGCTGTGTTTTGGGGGCTCCCAGTGCGAGCGCTCTGTGCTGCCGCAGGCCACGGGGCGCACGGCGGTGATGGAGGCGGCTCGCGAGGGCGCGGCAGACGTGGTGCTGGCTCTGCTGCAGCGGGGAGCCAACGTGAACCTCTTCGACTTCGACAGACACAGCGCTGCACACTTTGCGGCCAAAGGAGGCTTCCTTGAGGTAATCACATTTGTGCTGTGAAAGCACTGCTGCAAAGCCAAACCTGGCTGGGACTTTTGTTGTTACAGGGCTTTGCTTTGGGTTTTTGGAGTGTGCTTTTGTTGGGGTTTGTTTGAGTCCGTTATCTCAGCTGATCAAAGTATAATGATCAGTAATCAAAAGCAGATTCTTTGTAAGCATCAGAGGGATTCCAGCAGTGATAGGCCAGACAGGGGTTCACAGTGAGCTGGCAAGAAGATTGTCCTTGGTGTCTACAATTACACAAGGTTTCTGTTTCATCAGTTAAATAAGCATAATGCTATAGAAAACATTATTGTTATATGTGCATTGACCAGCTGGACATGGGAGAGAACTTCATTATTAGAATGGGAATGTCATATATTGCATTTATTTGTAAATCAATCTTACATTTTCACATGTTAAGAACAGACAAGATTTTTGGTGGGACTCTGTTTGTTTTTCTAGATTCTGGCGATTATTTCAGGTTATGGTGCAGACTTGAAACTGGTTGCTATGAGTGGTAACACACCACTTCATTATGCTGCAGAGGGAGGATTTACAGACTGCTGCAGGTATATAGGACAAAGAGGTACATGAAAACTAAATTACTTCACAACTATTACCTGTATTCTATTTCTATGCTAAAGGACAGATTTCATTTGGGTATCTCTGAAGGATTTGGGTACCTGTGGCGAAAATCTTATTCAGAAGGGCCTAACAGAGGCTCATACCTCATGTGGATGAGAAAACATTTCTCAAAGAAAGCAGCAGAAACATCAGGAGGTTGTATAACTTAGTGTTGGACAGAATTAGGTGGTTCTGGGTTTAGTTGGTTTAGATGCATTGTATTGAAAGTTCCAATAGAAAATACATTTTTGATTTGATGATAATTTAAAAAAAAATCTCTGTGCAGTCATGAGGAAAACTTCATACCCATGGGTATTGAAACATGCCTTGAAGCAGCTGTGATCCTTTCCTGACTTGATCAGATGATCATTGCACTTCAAGCTTTGATCCAAGAGCACCATGCAAAATCCCACATCCTGTTCTTGTGATCCATTGCCAAATGGTAATGTTGGGATATAGAAATAAATGACACCTTAATCTTAGTTTGCTTCTTAACCTTGCTCACCACTTCAAGTAAAAATGTAAAGTTTCCACTGAACTTCTCTTTATACATATTCATGGGTGGATAAATAAATACAGGCTGCTCAATGCTTCTCCCTTTGGAAAAAAAAAATGGACATGTGGCTGACCTTCCAGCCTGGGATCAGTGATGTGGTTCCACCTACCACTGCTATTTATATAAAATTGTAGGCCGTCGCCACGACTTGCCTGTGTATTACAAGTTTCTTATATTACAAAAGTAGGAATTCCACTGCATTATTAGCCATACTGTGTCCATATTTCTAGGCTGTGATCCTACATGGACCAACTTGTTAAAGCTGACCGCAAGGGATGTTGCCAAGGGCGGTGGGTTCAAAGCAGCAGTAACAGTGCTGCGCAAAGCTGAAAAAGCCGCAAGGAAGCCAGATAAGACCCTTGACTGGTACCTGAAGGTGTACGACTGGTCCCTGCAGCACGAGGAAGCCATCCGCAAGGAGTTTGAGATTGATGAGGAAGACGAGGGGATAGTATCCAAAAGGGATTTCATGGCAGTCATTCGGAAGCACTGGGGCACCGTGGATCAGGAACAAATAGAAATTCTTGCTAGAAAGCATGAAGTATCTTCTGACAAGATCAGCCTGGATGATTTTTTTAAAGGCTCAAGATACCTGCAGAAAAATTTTCTGCTCTCATCCTTTGGGCCCAAACCAAAGAAGAAGAAGAAGCCACCGAGAAGGAGAGGCAAGAAAGGCCTCCCTGTGCCAGTGTGCGTGGTGCCCCAGAGTGAACGCCCCCTCAGGGAAGATGGCCTCCCTACCTACATGGTGGAGGCTGTCCCCACCATCCCCGAGGAGCAGCGATTGAAACGCGCCCTCCACGCCGCCCACCCCGTGTTCGATGACCGTGCCTGGTACATGGAGGAGCCCAGTAAAACCCTCATGGATATCAACTACCTGGTCAGAGAAGGAGACTTTGTGTCTCTGCAGAGAGCCTTCGACCAGGGCGTGCCAGTAGACATGAAAGATATATATTACAAAACACCTTTGATGGTTGCATGTGCAAGTGGCAACATAGTTCTTGTGGAGTTTCTTCTGGAAAAGGGGTAAGATAATTTCAATTTAATTGCTATTTTGGGAAGGCTTTCAAAAGCATAAATGTCCACTGAATATTTGGATGCAAAAGGCTATGGTTTGTTTTTTGCTTACATAACATTTAAGTTACTTCCCTAAGATCTCAAGTCACAGGGGTAAGTTTATTATTTTTCATATTTTAGTAGCATGGAAATGAAAACAACCAAGAGCCAAGTTTGTCCCCAGGACTGCAATTTTTGGTGTCTGGGCTGTTGATATTTGGTCAGCAGCAGGGGTTCATACCCAAGTAGTAGTGCATCGAGTAGTACATCCTCACAAGCAAACTCTCAAAACTGGGAAATGATTTTGGGGAAATCTGACTTGAAGGACTTGACTGAAATCATTGAGGTAATCCTGGACTTTCCTGTTCCATATGCTTGGTTTAAATCTCCACTTTCCTCTGCAGCTGAGGCAGGCTGAAGCAGCAGGATTTACATCAGAAGCCCCTGCTACTAATTAGCCTGCTCCTCATTTTAGAAGTGCTTCAGCAATTCTGTAGCCTGCAGACACACTTGTGAAAAATCTCAATGACACCTTAAAAATGAAAGCAATTTCAAAAAGATTCAGTCATACTTGTGTAATAGCATAATCTCTTATTGTCACACTGCTGTGGTCCTACAGTCCTTCACATAATTGCTTAAATGAACATTCTCCAAAGATATTTACGTTAACTCTGTTCTCTCTCTACTATGCATAGATAGAATTCATGTTAATATTAATATATCAGGGAAAGGGGCTGTAGTCATTGCTCTGGTTCCTGCAAAGACTAACAGCAAATGGATCTTTCCACACGCTGGTAATTACACTGACATTCCTAGAGCATATGGAAAATTGAGTAATGTGTATATTCAGGTTTTCTGAAGATAAAGGTGTAGGAGCTACCAAATTAATCCACCAGATTAATCTCTACTCCTTTTCCCAAGCCTCAGCAGACACCACTGGAGTCACATCCTATTTAACAATAAGACCTAGAAACACAGTAACTTAGCTTGAATAAATAGTACCAGTTTTGAGATTTTTTTCAATAGACAGAAATGAAAATGGAAAGTTATCAGTAGCATTTAGGTTTGCATCTCTCAGCAGCATGGGCTTGCAGTTTAGCACAGGCATTCAAATACCTTTTATAATATAACCTTTTCAGTACAGAACCACAAATCCATATTGAATACAAAACAAAACATTTATCCAGCTAAATGGTTAACATTTATTATGTTTAAAATTAAATTGGTGGTATCTACTTTCTATCTTCCTTCAGAAAGAATTAGAAATAAATGAAATTTGGTCTGATGGGAAATTCTGTGCTTGATGGGCAGAAAATGCCAAGGAATTTTTAAATCAGTCCTGCATTGTACCTGTTCCCACTGACTGGTTTCTTTTTGATAGGATGAAGTTAGGAAAAAGGGTTCAGGGGCAGACAGAGTCTGAGTGCAGGCAAAGAGGTTGCGTTGAGAGAGAAAGTGAAATAACCGAAGAAGTTCATTTTAATGAGAATTAAAACAAATGGAAACTGCCTACAAATAAACCATAACACTTAGTGACTGAAAGATAAGAGAGATAATAGTGGTAGGTCGGGGAATTTACTGTGCTAAGATCTCATCAAAGATAGAATTCTGAAAAAGATTAAAAATTTAAACAAGGGAAGAAGAACAGATGAATCTGTGCTTTTATTTAGACAATCATCTGACCTGAAGAGCAAACAGCTATCCCTGGAAGCAGCTTCCTTCACAATTTTTCTTCTTTCTTCCTTCCTCCTTCTTTTTTTGGGAAGACAGCAGCTTTTTGTCCACCAAGTAAGTGGGGCAGTGTCCCTAACTCCCTTCAGGACCTCTAGGGCTGGTAATGCTTTTCCTCCCAGTTTCATCCAGGGACCTCCCGTGAACTAGCCCTTGATTTCTGCAGAGCATCCCAGGTTTCATTTGGGAGCAGAAGCAGGTCCTAGCCCAGCAGCACAGTAGCTGAATGGCTTTTCAGTGCTCAGACTCCCAAGGCAGACCTTGTGTAACTCGTTTGTCAAAGGGAGGAGCCAGTGCAGAGGAATGGAGCAGGCAGAGGGCAGCAACACCAAAAGGACAGGTGAACATTTCCCTCTCGTGCAGGCAAGCTCTGCAGTGTTGCCACATGTCCTGTAGCACTTGTTCTTGGCCCAGAAGGGAACTTTTTGAGTTCCTGAATCTGCTTTCTGCCATTCTCGGTGAAGCTGGAGCACAAGCAGCCTTTTACAGGACTAAGGTGTTTGAATGCCTGTGCTTTTTGCTGTACCCATGAAAAGCTCCATGTGAAAGACACTGATGGCTTAGGGGGAGACATGAGCAGCACCCAGGCACACTTACAATTACTATTCCATGCCAAGTTCAGGGACTGAAACAGGTTCAGAATAGCCACATGAAAATAGCTCTTTACACTGAATATGCCACTGCAGCGGGCAGTTCCAGCTGATTGCCCGGGGAGCTGGGGCTGTTCCTGCAGGCACCCAACAGCTCCAGCTGCCACAGCCGTTCCTACCCTGTGCAGGGCTGATGTGAATGCAACAGACAACTTCCGGTGGACCCCTCTGCACCATGCCTGCTACAACGGACACCTGGACATCGCGGAGCTGCTGGTGAAGGCTGGAGCAGCCGTCAATGCCCTGTCCATAGGCGAGGCCACCCCGCTGATGAGAGCCGTTGAGGCCTGCAGGCTGGACATGGTCTATTTCTTAATCACTGCAGGTGCTGACGTCGAGGCTTTAAACAGCAATGGTAAATAGCAATGTCTCCAAAACAGGCGGATTCTGTATTAAAAACACCTGGAACACTGGGAGAACTGTTCTGTGTTTAGGGTTGCTGTCAGGATTGGGATGAAGGAATAGGTTCAGTTAGTTTTCTCCAGTCTGGAATAATTATTGAAAAAAGGCTTTCTTGGGCTTTGCATATCTAGAAAATGAAGTAACATGAATAATTACTCAATTCAGGAGACTGTTACTCCTCACAAGATACATACAGAGTTATAAGTGGCTTTAATGAAAACATTCTATCTAGTTATTATTATTTGAGGGAAAATTGGATTTCAGCTGTGGCTCAGAGCATAGTCTGCCACTCATTTAAGTGATTTATTTTGAGGCACAGGCAGCGCTGGTTAAAAGACTTCCTTGCTGCTCTACATGCAGATATAACTCCTGAGAAAAAAATATTTAACAGAAAACCAAATCTGAGCTGATACTGAAGAGTTACCTCCTCACAGCAGATCCCTCCTTCAGAGTTATTTCCTCTGTCTCCAGAGTAATTGAAAAGTTCACATGCATCATCTTTCAAGCTCTTGCTCTAACATAGGAAGCAGCATTGCTACACAATGAGACTTTCTTTGCCAAAATGCCTAGTGGTGAAACCCTGCTTGTAGAAGGGATGTGTATTCCTATTCCTTATATCATGTGGAGTTGTGATTCACACAGCAGTTCAGTCTCACAGATACTTTACAGCCAGAGTCTCATAAGAACCAGGACAGATTTTTTCCTTCATTAAGCACTGAAGCTGTTCATTTCCATCAGGGGGCTTTCCCTTGCCAGCCACAGAGCAAGCAGAGGCAGAAGGAGATTGCCAGCACAGCACAAGGTCAGGAATGCAGACCATCTCCTAGTGCTAAATGCTCTCAGCTCTCAGAGATCAAAATGACAACCTGTGGACCAGTGTATTAAGCTGCAAATGGCAGAACATTAAGAGCAAAGCAAGCAAGATAAGAATTCCTGCAATATTCCTGTAAAATGAGTTTTAGGGCTTGTGTCTGCCAGGTCTTATTTCTGCAAGCAGTGCTGATGACCACTGGTCCTCACACCAATGTCAGGCATGCTGCTGGCATATGGGATGGGTAATAAAATACTGGCCATATTAAATTCAGTTGATTGTCCAGCTGCAGAAAACCAGTGCCAAAGTTAATTTTCATGGTTTACACAGATATTTTTTTTTTAAATACAGGAAGGAGTGCTCTTGATCTTGCTGAAATATTTGAAGATGCTGCAATAATTGAACTGCTTGAAAATCAACTGAAAATTTTGGCAGAAGAACGAGAAAAAGAAGAAGCAAAGCAAGCAAAGCAAAGCAAAGGTGGGAAGCCAAAACCACCAGAGCCACCGAAATCTGTGAAAACAGAGGTATGAGAGATGGTAACAAAGGACTGATTTGCTAATAGTTAGCAGGGAGTTGCTTTCATTCATTCTTTGCTATCCATTCCTCTCTAACGCTGTAACTTCCATTCCTCTCTAACGCTGTAACTTGGACAGCTTTGTTAAAGTGAGGATTTTCAGATGCTCATACTGTTCTTATGAGCATTAGAACTTGTTCATTGGTTGAAATTTGTCTTGCTAATTAGACAAATTTCATGTCTTCCACAGACACATCAGAATGATGTCCTGTATCACTAACGGACATAGACAAAAATTTCCTTTTCTTTTTCCCTCCTCCTGAAGGATGTGCTCATCCAGCTCTGTTGTGGTAAACACTGAACAACTGGTAACCATAATTTCTTAAAGGGAGAACCTCTTTTTTCACAAGATAAGAGCAATACCCTTCAAACTGGTTAAAAGGTTTTTTATTCTCCTAGTTGAACTCACTGAGACAATACCAGGCTTGCTAACTTCCTATTTTCCATTTTATGCCATATCTTTCTTCTTCCACTATTTACCTAAGTCATGTTTCTCAAATCCCACACTGATGTTTGCCTCTTTTATTTCTTCATGTTTTTCCTGCACCCTCTGGGAGTCTTGAGCAGCTCAGCATTGCCCTATTCCCAAGCTGACACCAGCCTCCGTGCCCGCATCTGGATTCTCCTCCTGTGGATGAGACCTTCCTGATTCACCAGTGGCACTTTTAGTCACATCCAGCTTGCTATTTAGGGAGAAGATGAAATTGTATCTGTGTGGCTGGAGGTGTCCTTCAGCTGCCCTGGACAGTGCAGCAAATGTGTCTCAGTAGCTAAATGCTGGCATCCCCTTCCACAAAGGTTTTGAATGTCAGGGACAGCACAGGACTTTCAGAGGCAGGAGGAAGGCAACCTTAGGTGCCTGTTCATTCCTCACTTGGAAAAGGATGGGATCACCCGTGGTACAAGGTGACTGTCTTGGGAGTCACAAAGAGCAGTTAATGTTTTAGTGCCCAAGGAAGAGAGGTGCCTTTTACCTTTCAAAAGGGTGGCCCTTGCAATTTTTGATTTTAAAAAATCAGCTTTGACAGAAACAGGTTCTTAAGAGATTTAGAAAAATACCCTCCCAGTAAGCATTGTAGCAGAGCATCAGAAGATGCAGGATGCATGCCTTGCTTGTGAACATGATGTATTGGTAAAATTGGTACCTTCTTCCCCTTCAGTCTCCAGATGGATCTCCGCCACCTGAGGAAGAAGCTGTTCCTGAAAAGCCAAAGAGTTCCCGTAAGGACAGTTCTGCTTATTGGCAATCCTTGGCACCGAGAGAAGACAAAAATGACATCTCCTTCAGACCCAGGAAAGTACGTACAGCAGCAAAACAGGGGTGCAGTTCCATGGTGACTTTAGATCTCATGCTGAGATCAAAGCCCAGAACAATCCAAGCATTCATCTAGCTTAGAGATGATGTGACACAACGTAGAGAGGTTGCCACCAAGCAAGAGTAAATTAATGAGTTTGTGGATGCATAATTTATAATGACACAAATATATATATATATATATGACATATATTTGTGGAAATCAAATATTTGTTTTATATATCAAAATCTCTTATCGGATTTTTAAATTGGATTAAAGTGAACCACACTTTAAAATAAAAATGAAACTACATTTATGACACGTATTTTTATACTCTTGCTTTTAAAAAATAGGAGTCTATTTGCATAGCATGGGCGCCAACTTCTAACTTGCCCTGTTGATTAGTTATCACATGATGACTTTTGGCAGTGACAGTTACTGAACTAGATGGATCACAGCACACTAAATATTTGCAGCCTAGAGTTGGAATAGTGGAAATACAACTTTTCTGTCCAGGTCTTGTCATACACGCTTAGAAATAACTGAGAAACAGAACAACATAATCACAGTGAGGTAATTTTTGTATTTTTTTTCCCTCCTTGAAAAGGAAAAGAACGCCACTGCTGGCTGAGCAATTGTGTTTGGAGTTTGTTTATCATTTCCCTAACCCTGATTTATGCTAGTTTCTACAATGCTCTCAAAGGACTGAGGCTGCATAGCTGATGACTCTACAGCTAATTACTATTTTCCACTCTGAGGATCATGAGCCCGAGTCAGTAATTTTAAATAATTACCTTAAGATCTTCTTTCCCACATTATCTGTAATCGGAGTCCATGGCATGATGCAGATTGGAAGTGACAACAAGAGAATGCTCTGTTTGTACACACACGCGTTGTTGACCTCTCTTCTGCTGGCTGGCCACACTGCTTCTTTTCTATGTCTCACAGTGGAAAGGAGTGCTAGAACATGCCTCTCTTTCAGTATCTGCTTAGTGCCTCTGTTGCAAAAGGCCCATCCACATTAACTACACAAACCTTTATTTTGTAGATATGGAGCCCTGATGCCACAGCAATGCAGCTTGCAGAACAGCGAGTATTGCTCAGTGAACGCGCTGCTCTTTGTGGTCACATGGCAGATTTTACAACCCTCTTCAATAGAAAATTTGAGAAATAAGCACAGCATCTGGAAAAAGCTGCTTCAGCACGTGTTTTGAGGAGACAAAGATGTAAAAGGCTACTCCTGTGCAAGGAAGGAATCGTGCAGTGCTCAGTAAATAAATCTCAGCTACCATAAAAGAAAATCATATCAAGTTTTTCCTCCATAGATTATGTTGCTAACACACAATCTTTTGTTGAGGGCTTAGTCTGGAAAAAGATTTATCCTCATGTGATTCCAAGTCTTGGAGCTGGCTCAGTATACTTCATGGAATAGCCACTGTTGTGAGACACACATCTTTTGCAAAGGTGTGGCTTTCTAAGGCTTTCTTCACCCCAACTCAAAACTTCTTCGTGGAAGATACATTCCCCTTCTACTCTAGATATGTAGATATGAAGATATGAAGATGGCATTCAGTAATTAGCTAAGACAGCAATGTTCTGGGTTGTCTGTAGAGGCCACAGAGAGTTTACAGCCAGAACTATCACAGTGCCTCATGTGCTTCCTGGTCATGTTCTCCCATTCATTTTCTAAAGTGCGTGTGAGACCTGAAGCTGCTTCCTAACAGGCGCATCTTGTTTTCCTTCTGGTTTCTTGAAAGGATGATAATCTATAATAATCTGTAATCCATTTTTCTCCATTCTCCTGGAGAAAAACGTTCCAGCAGGTCTGCACCTGAGCCAAGGGGCCTGTCTGTGATGCCAGTTTAACATTGTGACCCACCTCTGCAGCCAGTTAACTGAGGTTCTTGGTAACACATCCCTCGGGGGCAATCACAGTGAAACAACACTGAGTGACCAGTGTGTGATTTTTATCTGCCAGCATAAAACTGCTGCTGGCTGCAGATGATTGTAAACAATAAAAATAGTAGAGCTTCAGTTAAGTCATAGAAGGCAGTGTGGGCAAGGAGCCCGTGAACAATTGTAAATGAAACTGCATCTCTGAAAGAAGGAGAAGCAAAGGGGCAATTTGCTGAACAGCAGCCATCAAAATAAAATCAAGCAGCAGTCAGAAATTATACTGTAAGGTAAAACTGTGTTTCTGGCAGAGCTCTGTCATGGATGTTACCTAGGACAGTTCACAGCCTTCACATGTCCAACGAGGCTTTTCCTGGTTCTTAGTGCAAGGTCAAGCAGCACACCATTCCTAGTGGGATCCTCACTACCTGTGTCAGGAAGGGATCATCAAAGCTTTCCAGGAACCTCCTGGACTGTCTGTACTTTGCTGCGTCACCTCTCCAGCTGTCAGGGTGGTTAAAGTCCCTCACAAAGAGGGGAGAACCAGGACCTGTGTATTGAGGCTGCTTTGAGCACCCTGCATTGTGGCATCACGGTGGCTATGGAATAAGGAAGCTGTGTCCTGTGCAGGACACCCACTGCAGTCTCTAAGGGATGGGGGAATAGGACAACCTGCTTGGCCTGGAGGAGGCAGAGCCACCCACAGCTCCCCTCGCCATCAGGCTGGCCTAGGACAGCGTGACAGAGCAGCCCTGCAGGCACACAGCCCCTCAGCCAGGGGCAGTACCTGAGCAGCTGACACCCCAGCTGCCCCTGGCCCAGCAGGCCAAGGACAACGGAACAGCGCAGCATCCCGAGGCTCTGGAGTGCAGCTGGGATGCTGGCAGAAGGCTTGGCACGTCCAGAAATGCCATGGCAGGATCCCCAGATGTGGTGAGGCAGAGGCAGACAGGTCAGCATGTTCCCCCACTCCCTGCCCACCCCATGGGGCTGGGGACATGGGGACAGCGGGCTCAGGCGGGGCTGTCCTCACAGGGCAGGTGGCAGCTGCCACCATCGGCTACCACGATGGCCAGCAGTACGCGGCTGAGTCGGAGCGGCTCAGGAAGGCCAGGCTGCGTGTGGAGAAGGCCATTAAGGTGAGGGGTTCGGTTCCACAGTGCCCCGAGATGGCACATGCTGGCATTTGTGCCCCTGTGGCTCAGCAGAGCCGGCTCGGAGCGCAGGGAGCGCAGGCTGAGCTGGCTGCTGTCCCGCAGGAGAAGAAGATCTTCACCGTGCACGGCCCCTACCCCGTCATCCGCCGGCTGCTGCGTGCCCGGGGCTGGGTGGAGAGGAAGCTGCCCCTCAATCACAAGCAGCTGAAGCAGCAGCCTGCCGACCAAAGCAAACAGCAGCCGGACAGGGGGGCAAGCGGTGGCGGTGATGAGCCGGGGGAGGCAGTGCTGAACCCGCCCAGCGGGGCACAGCCTTCCCTGGGCACCGCGGAGCCCCTGCAGCACCCGTGGTGCACAGCACACGATAAGGAGAACGAGGGGGAAAGGGAAGATGAAGACGAGAACGAAGATAAGGAGCAGTGCAGTGAGGACTCTGAAGACATCCATGACCTCATGGTTAGCTAAGAGGGCTAGGGCTGAGCTCTGCCACAGCTCCCCCCGTCATCCTGGGACCCTCAGACGCAGGGCTCAGCCTGGGGCTCAGGGCTGGGGCAGGATGGGGGCTCCGTGGCTCACCCCAGCCCGTTCTCTCCCGCAGTCCTTCCTGGTGCAGGACCAGGTGCCAAACTTCCTCTGGACCATTCGCCTGAGCAGCGTTGACCGGGAGCTGCTGGCGAGGATTGAGGTGGTGAACCGCTATCCCCGGCTGGCCGCCCTTTGCACCAAGGTGGGAGCACGGGGGCCTCAGGGAGGGCACACGAGGGGTGCGGGTGTCCAGAACGAAATGACCAGCTTCTCCAAACAGGAGGGGCTGTGCCAAAGCCTGCAAAACTTGTCCTGGTTCGAGCAAGTCGACTTCAACACCTTTTTCCCCCGGTGCTACCGGCTGGGGTTCAAGGACGAGAAGGAAGCGTTCATTGGTGAGCCTGAGGCTGCTGCCCTCCTGTCACCCCTCATGCTCCAGTCTTCCCTTGTCCTGTGCAGGACTGGCTAGGGATGATGCTTCCCTCTTGCAGATGATTTTTGCCTGACAGCAGCTCGCAGCCTTCTCAAATTGGCCCTGGAGAAGGTCGGGGACAGGCCGGTGGGGACAGAGCAGCCCTCAAAACCCGACGAGGTGCCGGGTGAGTGCATGGAGCTGGCTGAGCGGGGTGGAGGCGAGGGATGAAACGGGGAGTTCAGGGCTTGTCTGAGGGCTGAGCTTGGAGGCTGAGCATCTGCTCATGTCTGTGGCTTGGGGTCCCTTGCTCCATCCCCTGCCCTAGCTCCAAAGGCATCCGTCCCGCAGGAAGGCTCAGTGGTTCGGCCCCAAGGCTGGCGTAGGAGTCATGAATCTCACCCCATGCTGTCCGCAGCAGGGCCGTGCTCGCCCCTGTATCCCGAGCTGCTGGAGGAGGCCCTGGAGGTCTGTGAGCAGCACCTGGGAGTTCTGGGGCACCACGACATCGACAGGAGCACCCCGTCGCCCTGCCGGACATGCATCGACTGGGACCGCTTCCTGCCGGAATACTACCGTGTGGCACAGTGGGTGCTGAGCGGGACGGGGCAGGGGGGACAGTTATGGGGCCGCCGCTGACCCCCCGTGTCCCCCACAGCGAGGGGGCCAGGCTGGAGCTGGACATGGAGCAGCGCGAGCGGTGCCAGGAGCTGCTGCAGCGCCTGGAGGAGAAGCTGCCACAGCTCGGCATAGAGGGCAGCCTCAACGTGTGGATCGTCAAGCCCAGCGCCAAATCCCGCGGCAGGGGTAAGGCTGGGGGAGGCGTGGGGCACACACATCCCGCCGAGAAGGGGTGCCACCGTCCCTGTGTTGCCCAGGCATCGTGTGCGCGACGCGGCTGGAGGAGGTGCTGGAGCTGGCGCGGAGCTGCGTGGGCACCCCGGCGGGCGTGTGCGAGTGGGTGGTGCAGAAGTACGTGGAGCGGCCGCTCACCATCTTCAACACCAAATTCGACATCCGGCAGTGGTTCGTGGTGACTGACTGGAAGCCGCTGACCGTCTGGTTCTACCGAGACTGCTACCTGCGCTTCTGCTCCCGGCCCTTCTCCCTGTGCCACCTGGAGCCGTGAGTGTCCCCCCCGAGCCCCAGCTGGCACCGCCCAGCCCCCCGGCACCCCCTGACCCAGCCCCGCTCTCCCTGCCCCAGCGCCAGGCACCTCTGCAACGTCTCCATCCAGAAGCGGTACAAAACGTGGCAGCCGGACCCCCGCGTGCCCCCCGACAAGATCTGGTCCAACAAGCAGTTCCAGGCCCACCTGGCGTGGCTGGGGCGGGAGAACGCTTGGCAGCGGGTGATGGTGCCCGGCATGAAGGCGGCGATCCTGAACGCCCTGCGCTGCGCCCGGGACCGGGTGGGCTCCCGCAAGGGCAGCTTTGAGCTCTTCGGGGCCGACTTCCTCATCGGGGAGGACCTCCAGCCCTGGCTGCTGGAGATCAACTCCTGCCCCACCATGAGCCCCTCCTCGGCGGTGACACGCCAGCTGTGCGCCAACGTCCAGCGGGACACGCTGCGCCTCGTGCTCGACCGCAAGGACAACCCCACCTGCTCCATCGGTGCCTTTGAGCTCCTCTACAAGGAGGTAGGCTGGGGACCGGGGACAGCCACCCCCCAGGCACCCTGAGCCCCCACTGCCCCTTGTGTCCCCCTGCAGGCAGCCGTGTCCTCGTGTCTGACTGCAGGGCTGAGGCTGATGGTCACGGGCTGTTCCCTGAAGAAGCCCCAGTCGGCGAAGCATCGATCCCAGGACAGGCTCCCCAGGTCTGCACCCTCAGGGAACAGAGCCGCCAAGGTGCACAGGTCGAGGACGTCACGGGAAAAGCTGCCTCCTATGGTGCTGCAGGGCAGCTGCTGCCTGCCCAAATCTGACCCTCCAGCACTGCCGCGGGCCCCAAACGGCTCTGCTGGGAGCCAGGAGCTGCCGTGGCTCCTTCACCTCGATGGGCAGTCCGGGGAGGCTCAGCCCCTGAGGAGTAGCTGTTCCATGGATAGAGTGCCAGGACCACCAAGCCAGGGAGCCACCAGGAGCCTCCAGCAACCCCCAGGCTACTCTGCTGGAGACCAGGAGTTGCCGTGGCTCCTTCACGTGGTGGTCGGGCAGCCCCAGGAAGCTCAAGCCCAGACAGCTTTGCAGCCGACCGCCAGCAGCTGTCCTCTGCACAGGGGGCCTGTGCCACCGCCCCGGGGAGCGACCAGGAGCCCCTGGCTACCTCCGGGCGGTTCTGCCAAGAACCAGGAGCTCCTCCGCGTGGCTGGGCAAGCCGAGGATGCTGAGGCTCAGTTAGCGCGCCCCCAGGAAGCTCAGCCCCCGACCAATAGCTGTCCCCGGGACAGGTTGTCACCGCGCCAGGAAGCGCCCCGGAGGCCCAGGCGACCCCCGGGGCGCCAGGGATTGCCCCGGCTCAGTCAGCCGGGTGGGCAGCCCCAGGCTACCCGGCCCCACAGAGCTCTGCCCCCGATCAGTGCCCGTCCCCCGGTGCGGGGCCCCGTGCCACAGCCCCCGGCAGCGCCCAGCAGACCCTGGCGGCCCCCGGGCTGTGCACCGACCCCCGTAGGGCTTCCTGCCAGGCCGGCGCGCCTGCCGGCGCTGTGACAGCACCGGGAGCCCAGCCCCTGCCGGGAACAGGAGAACGGCAGCTCCCCAGGGCATGCAGGGGACCTGGGACACAGAGACACCCCTGGGGGGGACAGAGTCACCCCTGGGACACCCTCAGGGGGGACAGGGGCTGCCCTCGAGGGGACCTGGGACACAGAGACACCCCTGGGGGGGACAGAGTCACCCCTGGGACACCCTCAGGGGGGACAGGGGCTGCCCTCGAGGGGACCTGGGACACAGAGACACCCCACAAGGTGACAGCACCCTGCCCGTCCTGGGTGGCTAACACAGCAGCACCCGGTGGGAACAGGAGCCCAGGGCTGTGCTGCGGTAGCCACCTCAACCTGCATGCCTGCTTTAATAGACTTTCGTGAAAAGGAGCCCGGCTGGGACCTTCTGTGTGTGGGAGATGTGACACAGCTGGGGATGATGCTGCAGGCAGGACCTGGGGCTGCCAGGGCAGCTCCTCTGCTGGCTACAGGCACAGGAGGCAGGGAGAGCTGCCTGAGGTGGCCCCTGGCCAGGCAGGGCTGTGGCAGCGGTGACGCTGCTGCAGCCCTGGGAAGTGGCCAGGCACAGAGTGCTGGCAGGGCTGGTGCCCCCTGACACGCCCGGGGCATGGCAGGAGGAGTCCCGTGGGGATTAAAGGGCTGGCAAAGGGAAGTCAGGTGTCCTCAGGGGTCCCCTGTGGCCTCCTGGGGCTGCTCAGGTGTACAGGAAAGGAGGTGGGGGGGGGGGTGCAGGCAGCACCAGCTCCTGCAGATTCCTTTTGTGACGAGGTAGCCCACCTTGTTACAGAATCCCAGAATGGCTGGGGCTGGAAGGGACCACAGTGGGTCATCTGATGCCACCTCCCTGCTCCAGCAGGTGATCCCAGAGCACACGGCGCAGGATGGTGTCCAGGCAGTTCTTGAGTGTCTCCAGGGAGGGACGTTCCTTAGCGTCTCTGGGGACCTGTTCCAGTGTGTGGAGTGAGTTCCTCCTGACAGCTGGAACTGGCACTGCCAGAGCAGCTCCTGTGCTGGCAGAGAGCACACAGGATCCCGTGGCTCCCCAGTGCTTGTGCCCTGTGCCTGCTGCTGTCCCCAAGGATGGCTGGGCCCCTCCTGCCCTGCTCTGGGCTGGGCAGAAGTGACCAGTGCATGGTACATCAGCTGCAGAAAAAGGCTGGTGCTTCTGGCAGAGTTCTGACGTGGAGACTGGATCTGGGAGAGCCAGCCACTCTGCTGTTAGAGGCAGCTCCTCAGGCCTCCTCTGTGCAAGAGAGTTCTTCCTCACTGGGGAACTCCTGCTGCGTTGAGGCCCACACAGACCATTTTCTGCTGGCTGCAGTCATCAGGGCCACTGGGAACAAGTGGAAGAGAAGCTGGATGCAAGGGGAAAATCAAACCTGGCAAGCAGCAGGGGCCATCTCCTGCATCAGTTTGGATCATGTACCCATGTTGGTGACTAGCCCCTGAAAAAGCTGATTGGCAGGGCAAGTACTGAGGGGGGACCATCCTCTGTTCCCCCAGGAAATCCTGACTGGCATCATCCTTGTGCCTTCTCATCCCAGCCAGAACGGGCTGCAGACTCTTCCAGTCTTCTTCACATGTTTCTCCACACAAAGAAAGGAGAAGAGCTGACTTAACTGGCATTTAGATATCTACCACTCAGTCAGAAAACGTTTTTGCATGATTGATCAATTAATTCAGATGCCAGTGGCCCAGAGGCAGAAGTGGAGCAAACAGAGGGGCTTGGCTGAGTCAGGATGAATCTTTCAAGACTGTCCTCAAGGGTGGCAGTGAGGATGTATTTATTTAGACTCCCCTTGTGCATCAGAAGTGCAGTAGGAGAGTCTCTTCCATGAAGCAGTGACAGCAGCACAGGAAGGTTTTAGGGATGCGAGAGCAGGTGTCACAAGGAGAGTCAAAGGGTGAAGCTCCAGAACGTAAATGACATCAGCAGAAATAAGGGTGTTGAACACAGAGCTGGAAGTAAGCTGTGAGAGAGGGAAGGAAACTGCCAATGGAGTGGTTATGGAAAGGCTGAGTGATCATTTGGTGGATGGTTCTAAAGGGGGCCAAGGGGTAGTCAGACAGAGAGAGACCTTGGTAATGTAATAGAGAGGAAAGCTCTGCTCTCCCAAGTGACAGATCCTTCTGGGAAGCTGAATCAGTTGTGTGCCAGAAAATGTACTTAGAACGAGGAAATTTGCAGGTAGGAGTTCAAACAGATTACTGCTGTGACTCAGTCTCTTGAGATGGGTGACACAAGCAAAAAATAAATCAAAGGGGGAAACCAGTGCAGAAGAGTTAAGCAGACAGAGAGCAGCAACAAGAAAGGAAAGAAAAGATGAACTCTGCACATGTACACAACCTAAGGCCAGAGGAGTTGAATGCTGGTGCTGGTTCACAGGCAGGCTGTCATGTAACTTCAGCCACACTTTGTGATTTGCCTTTGAGGTTCAAGCACTTGTGAAGCCTCCAAGGATTGTTTCAATCTAACAGAAGCACCTCGGGCTGGCTGCTCTTGCTGCCTGGGAGTGCTTCATGTCCTGCTGGATTCCTGCACACCCGCTTGCCTGTTCCATCCCTGCCCCACCAGGCAGCCCTCACACACCTACCCAAGCACAAACATGCACAGTGAGTCCCTTTGTGCAGCTCCTCATTCCCAAGGCTCCCCAAGCCTCCCTGGAGTTTCCCCAGCCTGCCTCTGCCATGGCTGTTCAAGGAGGAAGATGTGAGCACAGTCACCTCGTGCTAGCAAACAGGACATCATGTTATTGCTTTGGTACCACAACAGTTTCAGTGAAGGGCACAAAATAACATTTATGCGATAAAAATCCCTCTCACCTCTGTCCTCACATTAATCTTACAGGCATCCTACATCAGTACATGCATTGTCCCCAATTTATCATATATTTTATCAAGTATGTATTTATGACTGAAATACAAGAACCTACTTTTTCCTCCCTATTTTCAACACATTTACCATTCATTTGGGTTTTTCTGGAAGGCAATTTGCAACACAAATATTGTTCTAGTCCCAGTAATCTGTGCTCATACGCTAGTGGAAAACAGACAGAAATTCCACAAAGTGGAATTCCTGGGCTGCTGTAAGCACAGTGGAGCTAATAAATACATTTACAGCTTAGGACTTTTGAATGGCTCCTGAATAACCCAGCTTTATCAATTGTTTGAGACTGAATCCCAGGAAATTAAATTTAGCATTACTACTGCCACAAATCTCTTGCCATAGCTCCAAGGAGCACCTCATTTATAATATCAAATTGGGGAAGACTCTCAGTAAGAGGAATTGTATTGACTTAAATGGGCTGGAGGAAGGAGCATTCCCTCATCCCTAAATAAGGGCTTCACTTCCTGCTCCCAAAATGAACTTGACTGGGGCAAGGCTAAATCATGGTGTGTTGGCATTATAGGCCATGGGGACCTCCTGGAAGAAGGCAGGGGGGGAAATAAAAAGTGGCAGAGTGTTTGCTGTGTGTGGTGTTGCAGAAGGACGGGGTGAATAAATCCTCTCCTACGAGCAGCAGTGCCTGTACAGCCCAACAGCTTTCCTGTGGCACAGGGATTGCAGGGAAATCCAACACTCTGGAGCTGCTACAGCCTGTGGCGTGCTGCTTACAGGGGAAACAGAGCCAGGGACCCCCAAAGGCAGGGGAGCTGTAGAAACACAGACAACAGTCTATAAACAGGAATCTGCTAGTTTTGTGCAATGCAGCTCTTAGCTGCTGACTAAGGATGCCAGAAGAAGCCTGGCACATCACAGGGAATGGCTGTTGAGCTGTGCAGCCATTACACAGGACCAACAGAAACATTCACAAGAGCCAGAAGTAGCTTCAAATTACCTATTAATTCTGGATGCCTGTCAGCAATTGTTATCTGATGGGCCAGAGTGAGCTGGCATCTTCTATGGAGGAAAAAAAGAAATCAAATCTAGCCATTACTTAAAAGAAATAGCTAAAGAATCATTTCATCATGACTTTCATGCCCTTTGCCTTTTAGCCCCCCTTGACAGCGGCTGGTGCCTCCTGGCAGCACTCCCTCTGAGCTTGCTGGAGCTCTCGGCCTGGTTCTTCCCCACCACTCACCCTGTCCCAGCCAGGTGCACCTTTACCCAGGTGAGGGTGTACCCAGCTGGGCATCCCCTCCCAGCCTGAGCATTCAGTGCTTGCTCCTGTCACCGTGTGCCTCTGAAAGCTTTAAAGCTTTCCTGGGGGAAGAGATTTGAATTTATTGGTAAACAAGGAATATCCACCTCTGACAGTCAAACCTGTGTGTGCTGACAGGCACCATCCCCATTTGAAACGCTGATTTACATCTTTTTGTAAATGAGTTTGCTGGGCCAGGCTTGAGCAGTGTGCTTTCAGTGTGGGAGGAAACTTTACCTGAATGTAAAAATATTCGGTGAAAATGAGTTTCAGACATGTGTGTTGCTCTGCTTGCAAAAACCAATTCTTATGTGACCCTTCAGCAGTCACAGCAGGATCTGAAAACTGCTGAAATATGGTCATTTTAAATAAATTTTTCATGGGGTTTGTAATCAAAACTTTTAAACTGACCATTTTCTGTCAGGCTCAGGATAGGCTTGTAAATTAAAAACAAACAAACAAACAAACAAAAAACAACCTCAAAAAGAAACAAACAAAAAACCAAAACCAAATCCTTTAATGCTTAATATCTCTGTTCTAACAGACTTTTGAGACTTAGCATCAATAGTTTTCACTAGAATGAATAACAGCAAATCTGTGGGCTTTGGGCAGTTCTGTTTCCTTGACTGTGTTTGCATGCTTATCCAGTCAGGGAAGACAAAAAATTGCTCGTGACCGGTCTGACCCATCAGCACCAAACATTCAGCTGCAAGGCTGAATGTAAACTACTGCCTGTTTACAGGGAGTGCTGGCAGCAGTCTCAGGAGCTCAGGAGAGGCTGCATCTCTCCAAACGGTGACATGAGAGGGTGGGTTTGGTGCAAATCCCCACTGAGGAGCTCGGGAGAGGCTGCATATCTCCAAACGGTGACATGAGAGGGTGGGTTTGGTGCACATCCCCAGAGAGGAG